CCTCTTGTTTCCTTTATGCATCATGGCCATGCAAGTTGAAGGATTAAAAAAAGGTTCTTGTATTTGAGAAGGATAAGAAAAGATTCTTTTGCAAGTGGTAGACTGGTCAAAAATTGTCTTGTTGGGTGTTATCCTCACCTTTGGACATTTCAAATCAGAGGGGCCACTTATTCAGGGGATGAGAAAAAGCCCCTTAGAGCCACTTGATGTCACTTTAAGGCAATCCAAAAGATTCTTTGTTTTCCTCCTTTATATCTCCAATTATCTTCTTAGGACTTACTTTTTTAAAGTGTAGTGTCTTTTTACTCCTAAATGACATGCTTTCCGATATCTTCTTTTGCTGCTTTTTTAGACAACTAAACAGCATTGCATACTCCTGTTTGGAAGAAGAAAAAAGGGCAAGAACAACATATTTTATCAACTGTAACCATAGAAATCCTTGATTTTTTTTTTTTGGGTATTATTACAATTATTATCTTTTGTAAAGTGTGATTTTTTGCCTTCATAATTGAGTGTTCTAGATATGATTTTGAGTCATTTTTCCAGGGTTCTATGGTTTACAGTTAATTACAGGCCTGTTTCTCGATGACCCTCTAAGAAGAAAAAAAAAAAAAAAAAGTGGGGGGAGCAGAGACAGACATGAACTTAACAAAAAGCAATTATGAGTAGCAACAAAAACCAGCTAACAAATTGAAAGTTCTTTTTCATTATCTGTCCATACTCTTTTCTTCTTTTCTTTTGTTGGCCAGAGAGAGGCTACTGATCTTTTTAATGATTTCGATGTGCCAAAACCATATATGTCTCTCTCTCTCTCTCTCTCTATATATATATATATATGCAGGATCTTATGATGCCGACCATATAGATATAGCTTCTTTCTCTCTCTAACTCCTTTTTACGTCTCTCTTTTTTTTTTTTTGTGGGTTTATTTTTATTTTTCAAGGCTGATGATTCTCCTCCATATTTATGATCATCATAGCAGTTGGTAGCACACAACATGCCTGCCAATATAAGCAATGCATGATTCACAAATTCTTCTCAGTTGGTGGCTTTGATGGTTTTGGTCGGCCTCCACATGATTATCGGATCCTATGTGCTTTATATTATCAATGGTGAAACATATCATCTTTTGTATTTGAAAACTTTTTTTTTTTTTTTTCTTCGCTTTATATTATAACTTACCTCCATTCTTTAGGTAATTACTCTAGCTATGTGCCTCTACTATTTACGTATCAGAAAAAAAAAAAAAAAGGAACTAATCATTCTCACAATGTATGTGAATGGAGCTTCGATTAAGATAAAATGATAGCAACAGTTACCCATTGATTAAGATCGTTCTTCGATGATCGAACGTGTCATTGGACAAGCAATGTCGATCAAATTATCATCTTTACAAACTTAGAGTTTCCTTATTAGTAACATTTGAGGTTTTGTGTATTTGATCGCTATCACGTAAAGTTTGCTAATTGCATTACGGTGGGTGGAATTATAGCCAGCTCATTAAAGCATAAACATTGTCATTCCCCTTTTTCCTATATACCCTTTTTCTTCTTCTTCTTGTCGGAGGGTGGGGAAGGACATATTATTTCCATCTATAACTATATATAATCATACATACAACCTATACTAGTGTTCTTTCTAGGACACAAGCCTTTAATACACACAATCACCACTTTTGAGATAAGATTAATGAGATTGCCATACTTTCCCAACAT